TACTACTAGTAAGGCACCTGTTACTACTAGCGTGGCACTTGTTACTAGTAGCTTCTTGTTACTCCGTCTTCCCAGGTCAGCACCAAGAAGGATTTGGGCTTCTTCCTCCGCGCTGCGCGCGTCTTTCTTCAGGGCGCTGATGCCAAGGAGGACAGGATTCATGAGCGAAAACGCCGTTTCGTGTGCAGCCATGAGTTCTGGGAGAGAACTCCATGGAAACCCTGTACCATCCTGCCTGTAACGATGGATGTAATTGCCAAGTCAGAGTTTTTTGTTTTCCACACCATTGTTTGGCACTTCTTTTTTTTTGCGGGATCATTTTACCTCCTCTGTCTTGATGTCGGTGTGCAATGAGTCTTGTGATGGGGTGCCTCATTCCGTGCGAAACGTGGACCAGCCAACCTTGGTGGCCATCAGGTTCATCAATTTGATGCTATAGGCTATAGGACCATCATCCATCATCATCCTGCAGCTTTTGGCATAAAACCACGCTGCTGCCAGGTCGTGTCGTTGCTTATTATCTATGTCAGCCTTTGAATAATTTTGGATCCCCAGGTCGGTAAATGACCCTTCCCCAAGCCAACATAGCATCCCACAGCGGGGAACAAGATTTTGCTCTAACAGGTTGTTGTGACAGTTGGGGGATGGTCTAGGGATGTCTATGGTCATGTAGGTCACCCCTTTTTGCTTTGTGTTCAGGACCTGCCGGCTAGAAAGCCAGTGGATGAGCTCCAGGCCGACCGAGATAGCATGGGGACATGACCTGAACTACAGGGAGGGCGCACACGCACACTCGAGATAATGCGGACTGAATTGAATGCCACTCGCCACACGGCAACCTAGGTAACCATAATCAGGAGAAAGTCATGTAAGGGGGTGTGATCATCGCTAGCCGCTGGTGATTAGGAGGCCAAAGGTCAAATCCACGAGGTATCAAAGCGACGACAGGGCGAGATGACGGAAATCGCTCGCACCTGCAGAATGCAAAACTGGTGCAATGGCTGGAGTTCTTTTTCGAGTTCAAAGCAGGGACCAACAACATAGGACCCACCAGCTGCGCTTAGATGCCCAGGTGCGGTCAACGGCACGTGAGCGTCTTCGTTGGCTCTAGTCTCATGCAGGCTCCGAGAGCCCCCTGCTCATCAGTAAACAAATCAGCGGATTAACACCTTGTGATTCCAAAGGTTTCACACACACCCAGGCACGCACACGCACACGCAAATGCAGGCGGACGATCGACGATGGCTTTATGAAGGAACATGCAATCTCATCAAATGCTCTTTGTGCTTGCTGATTAGACACAAAAATCGACATAATTGCACAAGAGACACACCGTTTTTTCCACCGCCTTGTTGCCACCGGGCGTCTTGAGAAATCTTCCCCATCTGCTCCCGTGCACCTCCTCGGGTGGCTCGGTGCTGGTGGCCATCGGTCCAGGTCTCGGGCCTCGGAGAAGCCATCAAGGCTCGGTCCAACCCGCGGCTGCGCGGAAAAGGACAGAAGAACAAGTGAGACCAAGTGGCAGAATGGACATTGCCAATTGGAAGGCATGAAAAGAAACAGTGTAGTTCCTGCATGTTCCTCCACACAGTGAAAGTCCAATGAAATTAAGTTACAATATACACACTTACGTAGTATGTCCTGGAGTCCTTTTGTTCGATTGGACAGGATCATCACTCCATCCTGACAGGAAGACCTGGAAATTGAAAGTCGAGAATCAACTGAGTTCCTGTTGCTTCTGTACATCATCGGCACTGCTGACTTGAGCATGTTCTAGTTTTGCATGGCACATGGCGTGGTGACCCATCAAAAGTGGGTCCCTTCTTGTTTGTGTGATACTTGTAGCTGCCGATTCTTCTGAAGAAGCGGCTGATCCGCAGGTGGCCGTGAACCTGTCAACTCGCTTGGAAGACGAAGGGATTGCCAATATCGAATCCGCCCGGGCGCCATTGGGGGGGGTGAAGAAGCAGCGACCAACCAGGCCAGGCACAGGCACTGAGTCAACGTGAGTTGGTTTAAAATCAACGTGAGGGGTCAACGCCAAGACTTGCGGTTGATCCGGTTGTTTGTTGGTGGTCTTGCACTAGCAGTGGTGATGTTGTCAGTTTCCTTATTATATCGTATAATTATATATGTTGATGTTTTAAAGAACGATTAATAGGTGTGGTTTTGCAGATGTCAGTTGAATTGATTTTGCACCTGGTTGACAATATGTTTCGGTCCCGTTAAAAAAATGTGTCTCCGGAATTTATGGCTCTCATGTAACTTCACTGTTTGTTGATGGAAACTCCTTGAGCACCTGAGGTCGTGAACGTTGTTGTCGGTCAATGTAACAATGTGTGAGGCTAAAGTTGATTGCAGAACCCCCTTCATTCCAGTCGAGCATCATGGTTCGTTCTCTAGCAAGGACAAGCACTCCCAACAATCCCAAATAGATGTGGCAATCTGTTTAAATAGAGATATCACATGCCACATCTGTCACAGATTGCCAGATTTGTATATGGGTTCTAGTGGATGGCAACTTGTTGTTTAGCTCAACCGATCCTTGAAGGTCTACTCTTGTCGATCCCGACCTTAGTGCGTTTGAAAACGGAAGACAAAAAGCATAGACATGGTCCATCACATCCGGAAAACCGCCAGAAAGTTGCTTCCTATGTCCTATGTTTCATTGATACTGGAGCGTACAGTATATCCACTGTACCATCCATTCACTCGGGCGCCGAAGCACTTGGCTTAGCGCTGGCCTAGCGACGTGGAGAATTCCGGGCCATGCCCAAGACGGCCAAGGCAGCCAAAGCCAAGGCATCGAAAGAGAGGAAAAGGATGGTACAGGTGTTTGATGGTGTTTGGCTTAGGGTGTTCACTTGGTTCAGTGGGAGGCCGCTAGAGAGCCTTGGGGTGTCATGTTTTGTCCGGACTACAACAAGATCTTTTGTTGGAAGGGCTCCCACCCCTTGAACAATTTAAGGAGAGAATGGGCCTTGAAGGCCTTCGTTGTCAAAGAAACGATCAGCAGTGACAGATTTTTTTTCCGGCGTTCGCTTCCGCTGGTCATTGTGTTTCTTTGCGGAAGAGAACTGCTTGAGGCTGCTTAGCGAGGGCTAGCCCATCATTCGCAATTACTGTATATTCAAGATCGGTATTTGTTCTAGACATAGTTCTGGGCCACTAATTACATAAAGTAAGACAACTCGACATTGGCAATGGCTAGAATATTGGCTTATGTCTTGGTTTATAATGGTATGAGGTTATAAATGTATATATCACATGATGTCACTAAGACTGCTACCACCCGCAGGCCGCCGGCAGCGGCGCGGACGCTGCCAAGGCCCTACGGCCGAAGGCGGCGGCAGCGCAAAAGGCGGCGCCGCGAAGCCTCGGAGAAGTGGAGGGGATTCCTTGGACGCTTGGTCCGACGGGTTTCATTTGTGCCTTTGGTTGGGAAAGTGGAGTATAACAAAATGGAGGATGTTGGTGGCTGATTGGTTGATGTTGGATGCTTTTGGATTTGTTTGGTTGCCCCATGTTGCCCCATTTTGCAGGGACATGTCATTGAATTTCATGAGGTTTCCATGAAACAATTTCATTGAATTTCATTTCTTCAGTTCTTCTCATCTCATCCGTCGAGCTGGTCCAGCTGCCATCCGTCGAGCTGAGGAGCGGCAAGCTGGGCGTTCCGAAGAGCTTCGAGCAGCGGAGCTCCGAGATCGCCGACTGCGCGGAGCGGGGTGTCCTTCTGGAGCCTTGGCCAGTTTCAGACTAGGGGCTCCTGGCCTTACTAGGAGCGATCGGACGCTACGAACGGGGCTCCTGGCATTGCTACGAACGGAACAAGAAGCTATTATAGGGGCTCCTGGCCTTAGATTCACTTGTTCCAAAAAACGAGGTCCCCGTTCGCAGCCTCCAACGGCGTAGAAGGAGGCTTTGGGACGTCGCAAGTGGTGAAGTGTTGGAGGGCGGGATGCAGTTCATTGCTTTTTTCAGTCGCACAGAAACAGGGTTGGAGCAACGGTGACGCAGAACTTTCAAAAGAGCTGCGGGGCTTCCTTTGTTCTTTGAAGTTCTTGTTTCCTTGTGCTGAACGGGGCAGAGTTGACCTTGGTTGCCAACTCCAGCAGCGGAAGGCTCATGATTAGACACCGACCCTGCTTCTTTGGGAGCCCAGGAAGACCTTCAAGACTTGGCTGTCTATGCCGAAGAGGTCAGCGAGGCAGGTCCGGATCGGGCAGAAGGTTGGTCTGTGGAGATCGTGAAGGCTCCTTTCCTTGGAGGGATCACATCCAGGGAAGCTACTCGCTACCGGCGGATCCTGATGGATCCGAAGCATGGATCCTCTAAAGTGTGTCATTCCCCGATTCTTTTTGCGTGTGGCGGGACCGGAGTTTGTTTGGCGCAAGAGATCACACAGAGAAAATAAGTGGCTTTTAGATGAGAGAGCTACGTTTTTCATTGAGGGTTTGTGGTGATTAGCATTGCTGCCAGGCCTCCTATTTGACAAATCACAAAGGCAGCGCGGTGGCATGGTCACTTGGATTGAAGACACGTCTTCCTGGAACAAATTGGACTATGCGTGACTATACTATACAAGCAATATATACGCAACAAACTCAAGCCAACTAAACAGATTCCTCACCTGTTGGTCGACGGCTCATAGCTGGCTGTGGTGTTTCATTCAGTTGTTGAAATATCCGCCCGGTAGGCTATAGTCCTAGCAATGACAGAGAGAGAGACAGAGACAGAGACGGAGAGAGCTAGCCTCATCTCTAGCTGGCAACACCTTTAGACGGGCTGATGCAGAAATGTTGGGCTTCCAGATTCCACAGTTGTTCAACTGGTACTTGCAGCTGTGGTAGTGGATGATATGCTATGTTCCTTGAAAAAATATTGTAGTGGTGAGAGTGCATAAGCCAACTCCAGCCGAACATTTGCTTTTGCCATCGTTGGTCACTCTAGGAATCCGAATTGAACATACAATAATTGTAAACATGCATGTATTTGTGATGAGTTTGCGTCTTGATGTCCCATCAAAAAAATAATAGCCGGATCTCTCTGATAGGAACCCTTATCATTGGACCAACCTTGTATGACAGACATTAGTACAGACATTGGACATTATATAATTATGACTTAAATACATTGTGATCAGTTGTACACTGTTTGGTTCAGAATTTGGACATACGTACATTTTCGGGCAAGGTTTGCGCAAGCCGCAAGTGCCCTATAGCCCACCCACTTCCCACAAAGAACGTCGAAGAACGGGACTCCAAAGAAAAGCTCACTAACTAACGCATCTATCTTCAAAACTGTGAGAGCTTGGTTGTCTTTGTACCTCGTAGCTCCACTTCGCCTTCCTCATGTTTGCCAAGTGATTCTGCTCGGAACGTCCGAATAGAACGGTCTCATTCACATGTATCGTTTGCGAGGAACTTCTATGTTCCAGCTAGCCCGGGCATACACCGCGCAAGCAAAAACACACAAAAATCATCAAACATAGCAAAACCTATTTCAGTGCAAGCTCGCTCAAGCAAATGTTGAAGATAAGCCCCTGCGCAAGCTCCCACTGTGGTCGCGTAAGCATCGCGCAAGGTTTTCGCGCAAGAGTTTATAATTTCCTAGTAATTTATAAGGAGGTTTTGAACACCGCTCATGTGTTTGTCTTCTTTGTGCATTGAAGGTTTCCTCTTCTCGGCGGGTCTCCCACCCACAGGCCTGCCGTAAACCTCTATGTCATCAACGATCACTTCGTGAAGCCCTTCACGCTCCATGGACCGGAAAAGACGGGGCCTTGCCGGCAGGCGGCAGGCGGTTTTGGTGTGTCGTCCAACTGTTGGGTGGGTCACCAGGACTGTGACTGTCACTGAAGCAGCGACGCTGTTTTTGAAGGCTTCCGCCACCCCAATCATTGGCCCGAAACACCAATGGGCTTCACCGAGGCTTCCTTTCAAGTGCTCGTGGGTGGAGCTGGTGTCTGCAGGCCCTCAGTGAGGGGCTCAGCGGATTCCACAATTGACGAAAAGATAGACATTGCGAGCGGTTCGATACAGTTGCGCTGTGTCTTTTCTGCATGTTGGTTGCATGCGGCACGACATCTGCACGTACAACAAAATGGCAGGTTTTTGAACTGAGTCTGGAGAGGGCCAGCCGGTCAGGCCTTTGATAGGTCTAGGTTTCAGCGGGAGGAGAGAGTCCTCTTGACATGCAGACACTGCGCAATGACATACATCACAAATTACTGAGGCCACCCACTTGGTTTGTGAGTCATTGGTGGGGGACGCCCTTCTTCCAGACTGTCTCGCTCTTGGAGTTCCACACGCAGCAGAGACTCCTGGAGAAGGACGCGCCTTATTGGAGCCATGGCAGAAGACAGGATGAGAAGAAAGCAGAACATTGCAGAGAACGTTTTGGTTCAGAAGTCAGAAGTAGCTCAGTTCATTTGGGATTCCACAAAAGGAATTACAGTTGTGTCATATTGCTGTTTTGGTGCCTTTCGAGCACCACGGCTCAAACTTGAGCTTACACATAGCTTACACATAATACAGAGTTCTAATGATTTCCATGTTGGTTGAATCTGGCTATTTATGCATTTGGATGGATCGGCTTATTCTCCAACTTGCTCGACGCTGCCAATTGCTAAGCACATTTCTTATTGGTGGAACATCAGAAGTCCTGCCGCAGAGCCAATTCCCACCCTCCACTGACAGCTAAGCGTACACTACCACCACCATCCACCACCAAGCCTTGCAGTTGGCTCATCTGCGCTGAGCCTCAGCCACCGATGTTCCTTCATTCTCCTCCACCCTCTGCAATTGCTGCCACCGTGACACGGACCACAAGCCCGACCACCACCGTCTTACCGTGCCATCCACGTCGTCCTTCGGTGCGACCCGATGCCACCTCCGGATACCTCCGGCGCCGTGTCGGCACGCGCAAGGATTTG